ATGACTGATTATGAAGCGTTTTACGACTCAACAGATTTGACACTGAGAGAAAATATAGTAATTCGAATGGAGTCAGCCCTTCTTGTTCTTCAACAAGTTATAACTATAGCGATTGAAAGACGACTGGACTGTGCTTCGGTTCTACAAGAAATTTTCAACAACGTTCGCATTTTGTTTTTAGAATTGACAAGGAGAAGGGAAACTCAAACAGGCTCTCCCTGTAGTAACCAGGCAATTTATTCGTTAGAAATGCCAAAAGTTGAGCGAAGTGGCCGGCCGGGTAGGCCACGGTTTGAAATCAGCGAGGATGTTCTCTTGGAATTGCGGTCATATGGTTTTACGTGGAAACAAGTTGCAGACATGCTCCTTGTTTCAAGATCGACTATAAGAAGACGTGTTGTTGAGTATGGTTTACAGGAAACAACAGGTTTTTCTGATTATCTGATGAACAGATTGACTTTTATGTCAAACAGTTTATTGAAGAGCATGGGAATCTTGTGGGATGTGTTATGGTGCAAGGCTTTCTTAAGTCTCTTGGCTTCAGACTTCAACGCCGCAGGGTAAGGGCAAGTATTTACCGAGTGGATCCACATAATTCTCGCATCAGATGGGCAATTGTCGTTTCAAGACGGGCTTATTCAGTACAAGGGCCGAACAGTCTGTGGCATATTGATGGCCACCACAATCTAGTGAACTGGGGATTTGTTATCCACGGAGGAATAGACGGTTTCTCAAGGCTGATAGTGTATCTTCACTCCTCCAACAACAACAGAATGGAAACTGTAACTCACCTTTTTCGCTCTGCCACTGAACGCTATGACTGGCCATCAAGAGTAAGGAGTGATCATGGAGGAGAAACTGTAGGTGTCTGGCAGTTAATGGAAGAGGTGCGTGGTCCAAATAGAATAAGTTTCCTGGCTGGAACATCGGTACACAATCAACGCATCGAGCATCTCTGGCGGGATGTATTTTGTTCTGTCTGCCATATTTTTTATTACACATTTCAGGCCATGGAGGAGTCAGGACTACTCCAGCGAAACAACAGTTTGCACAAGTTTGTACTACACTACATTTTTACCCCCAGAATAAATAAGGCCCTTCAGTCATTTGCTGCTTTGTGGAATCATCATCCTATGAGAACGGAGCGCCATTGGTCTCCGTTCCAGATGTGAACACTGAAATGGGTTGCTCGACATGAGGAATCATTCACTAGTAGGCATTTCTGATATAGCAGAATCCGGAGGAGATGTTGACGACCTACAATGGTATGGGTATGACCCTTTTGCTCCAACGCCAGGTGATGATGGACTTTCCACCGTAGAAGTTGAAGATGTCAATATCGACTTACCTACAGACACCTTGACTTTGCTTAGGCAAAATATTGATCCGTTGCAACATTCTGATTCCTTTGCGATTGATCTGTTTCAGAATGGTTTATTGCTACTAATGCAGGCTGGAGAGTAGAATAGCATATCTCAAGGGTGATTAGGGCTGACTATTTGACTTTTAAGTGGGGGCCAGATGGATTTTCTGGTATTTGGCTTGACCAAGAATAGACCACTAAGCTTAATTGTATGTTTTGACTTTCCAGTGTAGGTCATATGATGTTCCCAAGGGAATTCTACCAAATTTATGAATTAAAATTAATTCAAGTGAAAATTTTTTAACCTAGGTTGATTCTCAATTTCCTTTTTCTCCAAGCCCTAATTATATATGGATTAGGGCTAAGAGACAAAGGAAACTGGGAATTAACCTTGGTGAAAAAATTTTAACCTGAATTAATGTTAATTTTGACCTTTAACATATTCGTAAATTATGTATGCAAAGCCTTTAGAATAGGATGAAATTTGAAGGAAACCTCTCTGCAGTAACATCAGGTGGTCTGAATTGGGAAAACAAAAGATACAAGCTAAAGGTATATATTGTTTTTCAAGACTACTACTATGATAGCTTTTTTGCCTGCTTTTTTAGGGGTTAATATATTACTACTAGTTCCATACAATAATTTTTTTCATTCAAAGCCTGTTTGAAGGGTATTTTTTTTATGAAATCACCCAAATTCCTCACTCCAGCACCCCCCGAAAAAATAAGTCAAAGGTCAGTTCCAACTCTATTTGGATTTCCCTGTGTGTGTGTATGACAATGATAATGGTGGTGTGAAGAGTACAGTGGAGTTTCATAAAAAACGAGTTAGTTTGATGCTGGGGAAAGGGAGTTGGGTTGGACAACTTACAGAATGCATTTGATGATGTATTGTGGAGGCATGGCAAGCTATTTGGTATACAACACCCATTACATTGTATTATCTTGAACGCAGGATTTATTCTGTACATTAATGAAAATCATGTCACTGATATGCTTAAGCTTATTAAAACCAACTGCTGGACAAGTCAAAAATGCCTGTCAAAAGTCAATCCTGAACAACAAACCTACATAAATTATGAAAACAAACTGAATTATTGCTATATGCACCACTTATTTAAACGAAGTGTAACTTGGAGCTCAGTTTAAGACAATTAGTAAGCTTCCATACGTACGTGTTTATATGTAGGTAATTTAAGTAATAAATGTAGTTCTAGTCCGCACTATAGATCTCTAATCACATCGGTGATAAGCTATGCTCCAGCGTTAAAGTACATTGCGAATCCTTTACCGTAACAGGTACATGCACTCAAACCCAATACGTACGCTGTCTCAATAAATAATAATAATAATACCTTTATTATTACCTCTGGCGATAAGAATTACGGTAATATTACAATAAAAATTCAAAACACTACATATTATATATACATATCAAATTAAGTTAAAGGTCAAATGAACGAAAAATTCGACATTTTTTATTTTTGCTCAATTCTAGTGAAATATGTTTAATATGTACCGAATAAACATACTATGAAGTTTCAGCTCAATTGAAGCAAGCATCTCCGAGATATTCGCAATTAAAAATTGTTATTTTTTGGCCCTTATCTTCGTAGAGCGGTCGGAAAAATTGTCGGTAAAAACAGCTTGTGACGTCAATGTTGGTCAGGTGAAAAAAAGCGGGAAATTCAAAACAGTGTTTTTCGAGTCGACTTGGCGCAGAAATTGTGGTGGTTTGTGCGGCCATAAACCTAGAAAGAACAAGCAATTTGTCTTCAAAAGTTGCAAGCTGTGGTTATAACCTTATTATTTAATTTTCTCGAAGAATACATCATAGTAAAACGGACTTTAACGATGGCATTGGCCGTTTTTATGCCAGATACGTTAAAGTCGTCTTAAAACGACTTTAAGGTCTAGTATAAAAACGGTAAATAAGGCGGATGCATTTAACGTCTTCTGTTAAGTGCGTCCGAACGACGCATTTAACAGACGACTTTAACGTTTCAGACGTTAAATGCGTCTAGACGACTTTAACGTCTCTAGCATAAAAACGGCCATTAATTTCCTTGCGCTGTACTGGAAATGTGCTTGCGTAGGTCCAATTTTTTTCAAGATGTATTCACAAAATGTGTTCATATAAAGACGTTTCTAGATATATAAGGTTCGGAGCTCCACTGTGGACACAAAAACAAAATATCTTTGCATAGTGATTTGCCCAAAGAAATTCACGCTTGCCCACAATGTGTTTGAAGTCATTGAACTTTGTCGCACTCGAGCTGATATTTTAAAACCCACGCTCGATCGGACACTTGTCCTTCGCAGAACACTAAAATATAAACAAAATCCTCAATGTAGAAGTTTTGGCGTTGATATGTGGGCAGAAAAAGAGTTAATCTAAATACTCTGACTATTATATTACTTGAGCAACAGAAAAGTGATCGAAGTAGTCTGGTCTACTCGAATAAGCTTGCTAGCCTTATAGTTCCGAGGAAGTTTTAAGCGCTCAAGTTTGTTCACTCGCAAGCGTTAGCATTACGGTTCTTTGACATAAGACAAGGATAAAGCTGGTTCTGCAAAGGTAAATGAATCTGGGCATGTAAAAAAACTAACCGTAACTACTAATAACAGAATACAAGCGGGTTTTAATTCAGCCCGGCGTAACAAGGCGAAGCACTGGACACAAAATCAATTCACAAATCGAATGCACAATTATCAGAAAAATACCAACCTCTTTTGAAATGTTCAAAACGTTTTATTCCTCCTCAGACTGACGGAATGATCTGTTTTTACTCTAAAATTGGTTGTTCTCAATCCAATGTAATTTTCAAGTGACAAAAAAACAACAACAAAAACCAAACAAAAGCCTTTACAAGGAGCAAACGTTCGCACCTCGTGTATTTCATTCAGTCTTCAGAACTCTCACAGAACCAGACAAACAAACGCAGGCGATAAGGGATGCGCAGAAGCTTGCGCAGAACGTTTTTCCGCCCTGAAAGACCAACATTGACGTCACGTAGTCTCAAGTCTATCACGCGGCCATTTCAGAAACGTTTTCGTGAAGTCTTCGGAAATGCTCGGATTTTGATCTTTTATCTTTCTATAAAGGCTTGGGAAGAAAAATCTTTACCCAAATCTCACTTAGGATGGTTCCTTTTAGTGTTTGATGAAGGTAAAGCGGCAAAAGAAAATATTTCAATTTTTCGGTTCATTTGACCTTTAAGTTTAGCACCGCTAGGAGTAAACGATTGTTTGTGCCTAACAGTGCGTGATACAGGTATTCTGAGGTGCGCTGGGTTAGTCTTACAAGATCTTAGATTTTGGCGATGATCCACTGGCTTGTCTAAAAAACGTTTGCAAGGATGTGCTTCTGATTCTAGGATACGTTTAAATTATTTCCTCGTGAAATTCTGACGCCTAGTTACAAGTGACTCAACAGTATCCCTAGGGAGACTAATGACATTTAGACATCTATTCTGCACTCTCTGTAGATCTTCTTCGAGGTAAATGGGCAGCCCTCCCCAGACAGGCAAGGCATATTCTAAAACAGGTCTAATCTTAGCGATGTAAGTTGTAAGACCAATGTCCCTGGGGAGATGGGCTGTTCTACAGACCCTAAGATAGTGGATCCGTTTACACGCTTTGCTGACAATACTTGAGACGTACTTAAGATCACTTGAGATCGTTCTGTACACCCAGTAGTTTAAACTCTGAAACCCTCTCCAGTTCAGTAGGCCCCGATATTAATAGGAGCAGGAATTGGACAGGACTTCTTGAAGGTGATCCACGTATCTTTGGTCTTTTTAGCATTCAGCTCCATTTTATTTGCACGGCCCATCTTTCCAAGCGAGTCACAGCATCCAGCATTTGACGGACAGAGTCCTTAGAGAAAAGTTCGTATAGGGTGCAGTCATCAGCGTACTTGCAAGTGGATACAGGTATTCCCCAGGGGATGCAGTGATGCAATATTCTTCCAGAGGTATTGATAGAATAATTCTAGAATACTTTTTGATTAGAAGGATTTGGATCCAAATTTGGCATTTTCTTCCGTGACAGGAAATGGCTCATAAGTGGCAATATGTTCAAGCATTTCTGGTAAGTTCCCTACATTATGGCATTTCCCTCTACGTTTTCGCCTGTTTGGCTCATGGTATTTGAAGGTTCATTGGTTTCTAGCTTATTCGCGGCATGGAAATTCTTTGCAAACGAACTTCTGTTTGCCATCTCATTGCCTTGATTATCTATGACTCCCAATGAAAGTGGTCTACAGCATAGTATCCCTTTCATTTTCTTTCTAAATCTTTGGTTTATCAAAGCATATGCAAACGGGTTGACGGCAGAATTGAACATGACGGCCGTGTGAGCAATGGGAATTGCAGAGGGAGCGAGCTTGTTGGACGAAAAATCCTCCAAGAGGTGCAACACTGAGTCTGCTCCCCAGCATATTCCAAAGATTGCACTGACAGCGACAACCATCAAGGTGACTCGCTTCCGCACCTTCACCACACCCTACATAAACAGAAACACCATTTTAAGTTATTAGCCTGCTTTTTGGCAGGATAGGAAGGCGTATTTACGGGAACAAAATATTAAGTTAGTAAGCGTTGCCTGATAGTTGTCTGTAAGACGTAAACCGGTAAATGTTAACTCAATAATGTAATAATGTTTCTTCTTTTTTTATCATAAATTGTAGAAAAACTGCCCTACTGTTACCAGGGTAATGATGACAGAATAACAGTGACATTTACATAAACAAAAAAGGGTACAAGTTCTTTAATTGAAGCGAAATAGGTCTGCCATTTCAACCTATGGCGACTATCTTCTATAAATGCGTTTTTATGATGATTTTGTTGCGTAGTAATCTAAAGACTCTTTTCACTCTCGTGGCCAGCATCTATGCAAATTTATTGGAACAAAAGAAAGCATTTGTATAAGAAAAGTGTTCAACTCCTAGAGGATTGGTTTGGGACACCAACATGGCCGTCGTGACGTCATGTGAAAACACTCCATTCGGAAACTTGTAAATCTGTTTGTTGTAATGCATCAAAGGATAAAAAATGGTAAGCGAGAGCTATACTTCATTGAAACACAGAGGTCTAGTAAAAAAACGGCATTGCCCATAAGGCGAATCAAATCATACCTTTCGTCGATTTACGACTTCGGAATTACTTGCATTTTTGAACCAGAGAGCATAAATAACCCTGGAGTATAATCCAGTCATCAGCATAAAAGAAAGCCCAAAGAAAACACGCCATATCAAAGTGTAAGCTTTGGGCATCCACTTCTTGGTCCATGCGTAACTGCAAGTACCGCCCTCGATCTTTTTCCAGAATTCAGGGACGTTCATTATCAATGCGAGTATCCAAGAACCAGAAATGATGATCTAAATGAGGAAAAAATGAATTTTTATCCATCAAAAAGTAATTTCGTAAATACATCATCTTCAAACTCTTTCTAATGTAAAGTGAAAAATTCTCGCCGTCTTAAACAGATAGGGGAACATTATGCTTATAGTAATAATAATAAAAATGGTCTTTATTTCATAAAAGAGATACATATATATCTTATGTTACAATTGTCCGGAATAATACATAATACAATAAAGAAAATAATCGTTGAATCCTAACTATCCTCTACTGAGGTTGTTTTCAGTATTAGTTTTGGGACGGGCATTAGTTTTTTTACGGTGGTTATAAGAACATACTTTCCTTGAAGGAAAGTACGGAGCGAGCGGCTAGTTATTTATACAGGTTACTTTCGTAAAAATTTTACTGTCTTGCTTTTTTAAGAGATCCTTAATTGAAACGGGGTAAGAAATAAAACGGCGCTTATGACATCTATCTGAAAAGTTCTGTATAATATTAAGATCAGGTTCAGACGCTCCATATACGGGTAAACCGTAGATAAAATTAGACAAAACGAAAAAAGTGAACAGTAATAATACGGGACACTGAGAGATCTTTGTTGCTATCTTGTATCTAAGTTGGTTATTTTTGGTATCATACCTTAAGTTTGCGCACGCTAAGATGTGCTTTGTTTTCAAGTGGATGCAAGACGGAATAGTAACGTTCCGTGGCGACGGCAACCAAAGTGAAGACCGAAGAAGCGCCGCCAACCCACGCCAAGGCAGCATCTGTTAGCAGGGCACACAAAATTCTTCCAGCCAGACCTTCAGGGTGACTGGCGATATGACCCCAAATGATCCTTGGTATGTAAAATAGGGCGTACGTGATATCTGCGATTGCCAAGTTCGCCAGAAGAAAATGTACGGGAATCCTAAAGATTGGACAATAAAAATGATGTCATCGCGGTCTCAACTGTAAGAGCTATTTGGATTGGATGTCATAGAAATTAACATAATTAAGCTTCTTACTATTCTTTGTGCAGTATGTAACTTTGCTTGACGAATATATTGTTATTTTCTACTCGTTATTTTTAGGGCCGGACTATTATTTTTCCTGGAGGGGAGGGGGGATAAGAAATATTGAAAAACATTGATTGTGTGGTCTGAAAAGACAAAATAAATTGTTTGCAAACGTGGTAGGGTAAGAAAAAGTGTTTGCAGAGAAGCCATGTAAAATGTCAAAAATATCGTTACTAAAACTGAAATAAAAAAGAAAATTAAAGTAAAAAATTGAAGCATAAATATAAAAATAAACACGGTGTGGGTACTCTAAAATAAAAGTGGCATGGTCACTCTGTATAACAAATCTAAAAATAGCTCATTCTGGGAATTATTGTGGCAATTAAATCTCAACGTTACTTTTCAACATTTTTTCCTACTGCAAAACTTCATATACCAGGTATTTTTCTCAAGACTGTATTAAACGAATAACATTCTCCAAACTTCAGAAGTCCATGAACTACATGAACGACATAAAATAATGCTAAGTTATGTCTCATACATGACGCCTTCAAGGGTTTTCATCGAAGGAATGCCACTCGCCTTGCCATTTAATGATGAGATTCTTTCAAGAAATGGGCGCATCTACCCCGGGTACCACAGGCCGGGTGGTCCCAGTATGATGGCCCGTGGGAACATTATCAAAGGGGATCAGGATTTCGGTACTCTTAAGAGCCATGGCTTTTGGTACTGTGGAATCGCAAAAAAGCCCGCTACTCCCTTTGGCTATTTCCTATCGTATGCCCTTTATTTGCGTCAGTAGCTGCCAAAAATTTGAAAAGGTGAGTGGAGCGTATATCGACAAAATATAAAGTGGCTATAGCACTATCGATTAGGTTCTTCGAAAACCAGTTTTCAAATAAGGCAATGGTAATATTTAGCACAAATAAAAAGAACACTGAAAAATGTGGAAAAAAAGTGTTTGCAAAAAGATGACGATGGAGAAAAAATGTTTGCAGAGACATATATGTTCAAAGAAGTGTTTGCAGAGGATAATTTCTCATCCTCCCCCCACCCCCTCCCCACCACCTTCCAGAAAAATAATGGTCCGTCCCTTATGGGTACCTCATATCTCGATATCTTATTATGACAGCACAGACAAGAGAATTTCCCACGATACTCGTAATAACGAGTATAGAAGTTACTGTCGTCATTGTTACGTCATCTGTTTCGTACATAGTGGAAAGGGGTCAGTGTTTCTGTCCTCTCTGAAAAACAAAATGAAACAGTTATTTTCTCTTTAAACTAGTAATGGTTGACACTACAGCTGCCCCCGTTCTGTATATTGTCGGGCAATAGTATTCTTGCTCGTTGTGTAGCTCTTTGAAATATACCGATTTCATAATGAAGGTGTTCACACATATTCCATACAATTGAGGTGAGATACATACTCAGGAAACCCAAGGTTCCATCCACAGTTTCGGTTCGATTTACACAGCTTTTGATCAAAACATTCTCAGTTTCGAGAATAGTTTGTTCTAAACCATAAGAAAAGAAATTAGACATTTAATTTTTCTCTATTTCTATTTCACTTTTAAAATTTAGTTCATTTTATTTGCTGGAAAGTAAGCCTTAGAAATTAAAGGGACGTTTGATCAAATCACGCTCGAGCATTCTAGTCTTATTTTAAACTTTATAGCGGAAGGACATCTGCCGTGAGCAGGGAATAAGTCAGCACAAAATTTGATGATCGGCGAATTTCTGTAATCGTCCATCGTTCTGCTAGTGATAAGCTAGCCGTTGAATCATTCACTTGTCTTGCTTGTTTGGGGCTCTTATTCCGGTCAAAGAAAGAGAAAGAGTGTCTGGCAAGGTTTCCAATCAAAGATTTGTGAACTCGTGTCTGGCAAGACTCACTTGGTGTTAAAATTTACACTGTTATACGCACCTTATAACTTCATCTGCACTTAACGAGTGTCTTTTGGTCCATAACTTTCATAACAACTGCTCCACAGAATGTCACTGATAACACGTAACGCAGAAGAGTATCGAAGTATGACTGCACAATTAATGTCACAAAATCTACCTATTGTAAGCGGTCCCTTCGGGATTTTTTAGTGTTTTACGTCATCCTAACCATTTCGTACTTGCTGGAGCAAAGAATAGAAACGTCATCATTACCTACCGATTCCTCACGGCCCCTATTCAAGCAAATCGAGACTTTTTCTTTATTGACTGTATGACTGTATATTTCAACTGTAAGTACTTTCCTTAACATACGCACGAGTTACTAGAGTGCCTCCTCGGGACTTCGCCCTCTGGGTGAAATCCCTGCAGGGCAATAATACAGAGTTGTGTTAATATGGATGTAAGAATCGTTATCATAGTCTCTTAGTATAGGTAAGTGAAAGAGCTATTAGTTTACTGTTACTTCTGACTAGTGTGCCGGCTAAAAGAAACATTTCTCTATGAAAAACAAATATCGCATGATTGCGTTTGTCCGTCAACCCTTTTGGTAGCGCCTCTTTTTTGGTTTGGATCTCAAACGTTAAACTGGTTCCACGGCGTAACAGTTTTTGAGATTTTTGAAGTCTCGGGCAACGATTCTTGCCCACACCTGCATTCCAAGAGGAATCCAATGGCAAGAAACCAAACCTACATATATGTGCGGCAATGGACTGATCTGCTCTGTGGCGAAGACGCAGCCAGATTGATAAAACTATACTCTCTATCTCAGATTACTCTCCCATGTATTGCGCGCCTAGGAATATTTCTATGCCTGAAAAGCTCGATTCTTCTGACTGCGATAACTATGATTACAACATTTACATATGCAGTCTTTTCTAAAGGAACGTCCGCAAAACCTTTTCCATAAAGGGGGGCCTTTGCCATAAACAACGACCAATAGCGACACTTAAAAAGTTCCTGAGTTGAATACAGTTTCCTCATCCGTTGAATGCGACGTTGCATACGTTACTCCGTGCTGTGCTTTCCCTCTTGCTACTAAGAGGCAATTATATTGAATTAACTATTGAATCAAACCTACTTTTCAGGTGGTTGAAATAATGGCAACAAGGATCCGTGTTCCGGACTTTGAGGATGAAGTTTTAGTTGTCCTGATCAGAAAATTGTCAAGATCAAATGAAAGTTTTTTCTGTTTCCATACCGGATAACCGAGTTTCACCGTTAACAGTGACAGAACTTAACCATACCTAAGTACGTACGCCCGCCTTTGAAGAGTTAGAGGAGGAGCAGGGGAGTCCCAGGCGTTCAGCCTAGATATTTGATATTGGACATCCAAATTATGGTAATTGATAGCTCCTAAAACAAGAGAGAGGTTAAGAGTAAATTTGTACCACGTGACCAAGTTTTACCCTTAAGCGTCGTTTACGGTTTATTACTTCTACTCAAAAATAAGTTGTTTGACGCCAGTGTTTTTTTCAAAAGGATCGTTCTGGATAGTTTTCATCTGCTTGTTTACTGTCCTGGGAAATTCTCAACTTGAATCTGACGTTTGCCGTTTGTCGTAAACGTGACTCTTAATCTCTCTAATGCGTGAAAATTTAACGCTAACTGAGCCAGAGTTTTGCGCTCCTCTACTGCTGTCAGGGTTGATTCGTTTGTTTGTTGTTTGGTTGGGAAATGGGTCGTCGGTTTATTCTTTAATCTAAAATTATATTTCGGAGCGACTTTGAAGGTTGCAGGCTTTAACAGTATAGGAAAACCTTCCTTTTTTCTGTTTCATTAAGATTTGGTTAAAGTTATTCCTAAAACACCACGTACTGTGGTGTACGTTTGTAGGATTTGAACCCCATCGTTTCGCGTTATCAGGTTCGTATATTTTCCGTGCCCAAATTAAAAAAAAATACACTTGACAGTTTACTCAGGCCTTTGAGCAAAAGAGTTGCTGTCAGGAGTTCATCTATTATTAACACGGCATTTAACGTGAAGGAAGTTTTATCTCATTTAGTGAAGAGTATTGCAGTCTAGTATAATTGAACGCCGCTTTTTTTGCTTTCATGGACTGAATCAAGTGAATGCTGCGTAAATGTAATTGAAATTGCTTTTAAGGATTAGTGTGTTAGCATTGTTAAATTTTCAAACAATAAATTTTCTGTCTTCTTAGTCTTTTTACTATGTTTTTTGGAGAGCTGGAAAGCTCGCCTAACTTGTATTGAACTTTTCTCGCTGCGTGTTGCGCGACTAAGAGCGATAGGACGTTAGTGTAGTGTTTTTAAGATTTCCTTGCAGTGGTCAATTTTTGATGCTTAGAAAAAACATAGGTTATTGTGGATGGAGAGAAAGTATTTTTCAGGCTCATTTTGCCAAAGTTGTGTGCATGGAAATGAAAGTCGGCTAGTTCAATACCCAGCCGGAAACAAATTGACTGCATTTCATCGTTTTAGCATCCAAGCTTATAGAGATTTATGTGCATTATTAACTACAGTTTGTATGACTCTCTGTCTTCCATAATTCGTTTTAATAGCCATATTTACCTGTTTTTGACCCGTAGATAATGGGGGGGGGGTCTCCAAAATGTTTTTTTTCGGCCCTTCGGGCATCAGTTTGGTCTAAAAATAAGGAAGGGGGGCCGGGTCCCCCGGCCCCTCCCCTGGATCCGCCACTGTTTTCTTACAAAGCCGATCATTTCTAACGACAGCGTGAGGCCTCGTTGCTGCACTTCTTGCAGAATGTAAAAAGTTTCACGCATGAGTCACGCTTGAAATGTTTGACCAAACCTAAATGTGTTAAGTTGTCCGATTTTACATGTCCTTACCTACGTTTGGATGAAAGTAAAATGTCGACATCAATTGCAGAGAAATCGTAGTATGACTATAATAATTCTTTTAAAAGGGGGTCTTGCGCGCTGAGCGTTGCTTTTACTAGGTAAACTAGACTATTCATCAGACGACGCGAGAAGTAACAACTAAGAAAGGT